GGTTGACAGGTCACTGGGTCTTTGTCCATTGAAATAATCAAAATATTTCTCATGAGACTCTCACTAGCTCTCATGAAAGGGTTGATATAAGGGTCTGCTGTCTAGTTTTCAAATTGCCCATGTGATCTCTCACACACACATTCCTCTCATGTTGCCCACCACCTCCATATGACACACAATGCAGCCACATATAAACTGAGCCAATGTGCGTGGCATGCTTATGAGGATGCTAAACTGAAATATGATCTCTCTCTCTCTCTCTCTCTCTCTCTCTCTCTCTCTCTCTCTGTGTGTGTGTGTGTGTGTGTGTGTGTGTGTGTGCATGTGTGTGTGTGTGTGTGTGAAATACCCAAAATGGAAAATAAAGATATTATCTCCATGTAAAACTTTAAAATAAATAAATAATTTCAAATAAAATACCTAAATTCATAGAAGAAGCTAATAAACCAGGTGTTCTGCTATATCTATATGAGATCATTAGACTCGTCTCTCGAAATTGCACACACCCTCTTTGATTCTGAATTCAGCCTCCTCAGATCATCTCTTCCTTACAATCATCTACATTGTTATTCTGTATTTTAAATAATAAAGCTTTAGGGCATCAGTTCTTCTGACATCCATATGGTCACACCACACATGGGACTTTTACCTGGCCAAGAAGTACAATCTGGAAATAAGGCAGTGAGACATCCAAAGGCACAATATCTGGAACATATTCATTAGAGTGGGACAAGTTCACAGTTGGCTTTAGCATTGTGTCACAAGGATGATTCTTTAAGAAAAAAAATAATTTATCTATAGTACTGACAACATTCATGGTTGGGTGAGCATGATTTTCTGATGGGAGCCCTTAGATGACCTGTCCCTAACTTCCCATTTGATGGCCTTATAACTCACTCCCATGACTCCTCTACACATAGGTGGAGGATCTGGGGACTCCTCAGGCACAGCTCTTCTCATGGATCTCCAGAGCCTTTGAAGTTTTAGGTGTTTCTCTTCCTTCCCTGGACTCTCAATTCCCTCTGAACTCAAAGACATTTTCCACCCTTGAAGTCAATGTTATCACAAGCTGCTTATTAGCATAAACAACCTTGAACAGAAAGTCCATAGAAAAACAGAACATCCATCCTCCTGTGTAATGTTCACGTCACAGAAAAATCAAGAGAATTCTCTTTCCATCAGGCCCACATACATATTTATATACTCAATACACGTACACATTTTTTAAAATAAACGTGTACTTGGATTTTGATGTTTTAGTGAATTTTGACATTTTTTTCTTTTGTATATACAGATCTTTTTTAAACTAAGATTCCAGAACCAGGGACACAGGGCAAGTCAAGTCTTGAGATCTTTGGCAGAATGTCATTGTAGTATTAAGGGATACAAATAGGGTTATAAACTCTAAACAGTAACCACTTGTCCTCATTTCTCATTAGGAAATAGCCAATAGTCCATTCCTAAAGAAAAAATACATAGAACCTCTTAATCTGCAAAAGATAAAGTGACCCAAATTATATGCAGGCCGCTTTAGGAAGCTTTTCATTGCTGTGAAAAAGGCCTCCAACAAGGATTACATAGAATAGGAAAGATTATTGGGGCTCATGGTCTCAGAAGG